AGGGCCAGAGCTCTGGCACTGGCCTTTGATGGCCAGCCACCCATTTCCTCCCCATTTTATGGTTCTGGTTACCTTTTAAATGTCTTAATAAAAGATGAAAAATATATATTCTCCAAAGATCAATAATTTACTCTGAGTTATGACAATACAAAATTTGGTCAATTATTCATTGGCTATAAGATATTTATAAATGCTACCTTAATATAAAGCTTTAGCCGTTGCAATTCAAACATTAATAAGGCCAGTGCCAGTTTAAAGGAGGAAAGGATGAGCACAGATAACAAGGGTGGCTGGGGGGAGGGTGGCTGCTGGTGGCAGTAGATTGTGGGAGGAGTGAGGTGGCCTCGGGGGCCCTGTGGGGAGAGTGGCAGCCTCAGGGCTGGCAGAGATGCTGGCCTTTTGTGGGGTTCAGGAGCAGGGACCAGCCTTAGGATGGGAGAAGCTTTCTTCTTCAGCTTTCAGTACAAACACAGGCAAGTGTGAAGGTCTGGTGGCAGGAAGTCGAGTGAGCGACCTTGTAAAGATGGCTTCTAGTTTATCTGTGAAGAATGAAGTGGGAAGAGACCACTCCTGGGCAGGCAGAGCTGGGCCCGCGTCTGCTCAGAGCCTGGCTGTCCCTTCTGCTGCCTGTGGAGACCAGCTGAGCCTTGCTAGGTTCCTTTGAGGTGAGGGCACCTATACTAGGCTGCTTCTCCCCAGGTGGACACCCTCTCTAGCCTCCATCCGGAAACATCCTGTCATTCTTTAAGGTGGTACCCAGAGGCCGGTTAACACATGAACTGCTTGTTGAGGGGCTTGTGATCTCAGAGTAGCAGTGGCTGCATGGACCAGGTCCGGTCTTCCAGGGGCAGCAGGTGTGGCTGTACCTGGGGAAGGATGCGTCCAGGGTACCTGGCAGGGGGAAGGCTGGGCTGGCAGTGGCCAGCATCCTTGTCAGGGGGTAGCACTAGGAATTGTGGGCCTCTTCTAGCATAAGCCTTCTGGGGTATTGCTTTCCCAGCCTTGGCCTGAGAATTTTCCAGAAATCCCCATGGGGATGGAGAAGAGTGGGCATGGATCAGTGGTGGTGCCAGGAGTGACTTCGATGTCTGGGGCACCTCTCTTATCTCCGGCACCTACCGTAGGCACCCAGTGAGTTGATGAGCCAGGTTTGCCTTCAGTGGGGAGAGGCCTTCTTCCTGCTTGTCGCCTCCTTCCCTGGGGACTGTGCTAAGCTTGGAGCAGCCCTGGGAAGTTCCATCCAGGGAAGGGTTGGGAAGTCAGCTGAGGAACCCTGCGCTCTGTCCCCTGCTGACCATCATCTGTTCCCAGCCCTGGCCATGGAGGTACCTGCTGTCTGGTCCCGATGCTGTCTTTACTGTGTGTTTTCTGGCTTTGTGGCCCTGGCCAAGTGACCAGCCAGCCCTCTCTGTGCTTCAGTTTTCTCACCAGGGAATTAGAAAGTTCCTATGGGGTGAGAGTTCTGAAGAGTTTGTCTTGTGAAGTAGCCAGGAGTGCACCTGACACAGGCCCAGATTGGTGGATGCTGTCACCTTCTCAGGGGACGCTGGTGGGGGATGTGATTGTGGGTTGTGGGGCTGTGTCTGGGAATGCTGGCTGAGCCCCCGGACCTCCTCCCCTCTGGGCCAATCCAGCACCTATCCGTGCTGGGAATTCCTGGGAAGCAGTTGACCAGCCCAGAGGCCTTCACAGAGACCGTTTGCAGAGACCCTCCTTGTTTCTGGACCACGGAGGTCTGGTAAGGGGGCTTGAAGCTGCTCATACAATTCTTCTCTACTTCTTACCCTCCCAGCTGATGAGTTACTCTCGGGAGCCCTTGTCAGTCTGTCAGGCCCGCATTGTGATTACGAGAGAAATCAGCTTCATGATCATGTGATATCGAAAATGATAACACAAGTCGTCATACTCTAGAGAGCTGCAAAAACCCCTCTAAGCACCAAGCTGGAGAGCAGTGACTACCAAGCACCGACTGTGCTCCAGGCAGCGTGGGCGGCTCTTAACATATAAAGACCTTTTGTGGAACATGCACGACAGCCCTGTCAAGTGGGTGCTGTCATCTTTATTGGACAAGAAAACAACCAAGCAAAAAGAAACCAACCAACCAACCAACCAGAAGCCTGGAGAGGACCATCCGCTTGCCCAGGGTCCCACAGTGTGTACATGCGGGGCCCAGATTCAGACCCCGGCACGGGGGCAGCATCTCTTGCCACAGTCAGGGCATGAATTGTGTAATCCATCTCACACAACCTTGATTAAGCTAATAGCTGATTTGGCTTTGATCTAATGTATTTTGATCTTATTATTTTTATGTTAGAAGCCTCCAAATAACCGTCATTTCAAGGGTGCCCCAATTAGCAGGCCATTCACCGTGGATTGGAAATTGATGTGCATCAGGCCTCCCCATTAGTGCCTGGGAAAGGCTGCCAGCCTTAATTACCCACCCCGTTTGCTGAGGCTCCTGTGGCTTGTGGCGCTGCAGGTAGCTGCAGGTGGGTCAGCCGTGCCCACCTCCATGGGGAGAGCTGTCAGAATTGGGGGTGAGATTGCTCTTGGTTGTGACTACTAATACTTCTTAAGATCCTAAGCATGACTTTGACCAGGAGACGGGGATGTCCAAAGAAAGGTGCAGGAAACCGACATCCACTTATGACTTTTCTTGTGCACGGCACGGCGTTGGCACTCACAGGCCACGTTCTAAGTCAGTGTTCCCATAGATCTGCTAGGCAGAGATTCTTATCCCCATTTAATAGCAAACGAGGCCCAGAAAGGAGACACGCCCACGTCCTCATGGCTGCTGACCAGAGGAGCCCAACCTGGAACTTGGGTCTATGGGATTCTGATGCTCTTTCCACCACCCCTGGTAAGGTGCTGCCCAGCCTGTGTCCTTGTCACCCTGCACCTCCACTCATGCTGCTCTTCCCCATCCCTGCTGGTCTGAATTCTGTTCTTCCTTTGAAGCTCTGACGACAATCTCTCCTGAGTTCACCCTCCTCTGTGTCCCAGGGAGCTTCCTCTCTCAGGCCTACTTGTGGGGTCTCTCTCTTCAGTGCATCCTAAGCTCCCCAAAGGTGGGACCCCCATCAGTGCTCCAGGCAGGTCTTGCATGTAGTGGGTATGCTGAGTGTATGTATGAAACACAGGAAGGCAGGAGCCAGTCCACAGTGAGCAGTGGCATGCATGCCCAGGTGGGGAAATTGAGGCTCAGAGAGGCTCCATGATTTCAGAACCTGGCGTATATGGAGTGGGGCCAGGGCTTACCATCAGAAGTCAGGAGTTAACTTGAGAGGGAGCTGGGCAGGCAAGGTGACAAGAGCCAGGAGTGACTGATGGCCCCAGTGAAGGCTTTCCCTTGGGTGTCCTGGGATGGGATCCTCCCTCCACAACTGAGGGCTGGAGTTCCTGGATAATTTACGCCCCAGGGCTTTTTAAGATTTTAAATGCAGTGCAATGTGTAGGCATTAAGGAGAGCATGGACAGGAGAAGAAAGAAGAAGTCGACTCATCAGCACAGCCCCCTGCTTCAGTGTTTTCCCTGCCTCTTTTGCAGGCATGCTTTCTCCCTGGTTGTAATCAGAGTGAACATATAGCTTTGTGCCCCGGTTTTTTCACTTGGCCACCTCTCAAAGGCAGTTTTCCCATGTCTGTGACAATGCAGAGAGACCCTGTCCCTTACTGGTTGTGTGGCTTCCCATCTTATTGTCTAGAAAATGGACACAATGATACCTATTCTACACGGATGTCCTGAGCATAAAGTGGATTCATATGTATAAAGTGAATTCTCGATGGAGTTTGGCGCATAGCGGTCTTCCTTATCCACTATTGGAGGGTTATTTTCCTTTTCTAAAGGGTTTATCTGTTCATGTCATGAAATTTTGGCAAAGTATAGAAAAGACTGCAAACTCGTTTTAGGCTTATTCTAAATCGCAGTCACTTAAAAATTTTTGCAATATTTCCTTCTGGTCTTTCATGCATGTTGTGTTTTACCTAGTTGCAAACATAAAATATATCTAATTTAGTATGATTTCACGTACTTTTCGATGATGAACACTTTCCCACGTTGTTGCGGTATCTTCATGACTGGTTTTAAAGGCTGCGTGTGTTTTCAGCAAACGGAGCACTCATAACCACTCGCCTATTGCATCTTTTAGATCGTTAACACCATTCCAAGAGCATGGCTGTGTTCTCTGAATGTTTTTGGATCTAGAGCTCTTCCCACGGTTTGGTTAGGTGCCCAGAGAGGCATTATTGACCAGGGGGCATAAAAATGGCAAGGCCCAGAGTGTCCTTGCATGCATCTTTACCAACTACCATGTGCTGGAGGGATGGTGAACAGAATGGGCATGACACTTGTCCTCCTGGAGCTTGAGGTCGAGTAGGAGAGCCAGACACAGGCAGCGTGGTGCCGTGATAGGTGAAGTGTGGGTGAAGGGGGATCACACGACAAGGGCTCCTTAGCCAGTCCTGATGCAAGAGTGAGCGTATAGTTTGCTGAAGAGGTGAGGTCGAGGGGCCGAGGGTGGGCAGTGGGCTGGAGTGTACCGGGCGGGGGTATGGTGAGCAGTGTGAGGCCTGTAGGTGTCAGAGCCCGCAAGGCTGCCCTAAGACTTCAACTTTATCCCCCAGCTTCTTGTGGCCACTGAAGGGCTTTCAGCGGGAGTGTGACACGATTGGAATTTTGGTTTAGGAGAGAACTCGGCCATGTCAGACCTACGTGGGAGGGGCCAGGGTGTGTGGGTGCCTGCGAGATTCCCAAGAGAGACTTCATCATTCTCATTTAACCACCTGCCCCTGGCCTTGCATTCGGAGGGTGAGGGGTCAGGAGGGACACTGTGGGATTTGAGTTATCATCCTGCTGATGCTTGTGATGAGCGCCCTGGCATGGGGTGCAGCTGGCCTCTGGTGCTGAAGAGTGTGGAGGGGTCCCCCCTCCCCCTGCTTCCCAGCGTCCCACTGCCTTGCTCCTTGGAGTCAGTGCCCTTGTTCTTCGTCCCCTTCTCCCAGCCTAGTCTGAAGCTTCACATAAACCCCAGGGCTCTTGACCGAAAGAACCGCATTGTCAAAGTTGCTCACAGTCTGCCGTGTGCAGCAGATGGCCCGCTGCCATTCACAGGCTGTGTTTTGAAAGCGCATCTGCTTTCTCACATTCCTGCCATCACATAAGCCATTAGTAAGAAATGTTTGCTTCAAAACTGGTGCAGTGGGTTGCGGCGCTGGGAGGTGCATCTTTCTATTAATTGGTCTGATGTCCCAAAAAAGGCGTGAGTGGTGGCTAAAAGGGGCACCCCTCGTGGTTCCTGGAGGACTTCACAGGACAAGCCCCTGAGTGTGTCAGCCCTAGACACGGCTGCCGGCGCCTCCGCCTCGTCCTCATCTGTGCCTGCAGAACCGCTTGAGCGTCTTCCTTTGTTATTATCAAGTGGCTTTTGAGCAATCCTGGGCTTTGAGAGTCGACTGCTTCATCTGGGGTTTGACCCAGTATTTTTATGATATGAATCAAATGGACTTGGCCAGGAGACCTAGGGTTCTGTCCCTTTTCCTTGCCTACAATCTGGGTCCTCTTTGGTAAGTGTCTCCATGCCTTTCCGATGTCATTCAGTCCCTTCAGTCCCAATCAGTTCAGTTCAGCCAACACCTGTAGAGCACACAGTGTATTCTTGGCTCATGGCTAGGCCATGGGGATACACAGATGAACAAAATGAGTTTTTGGCTCTTAAGGGGCTCACGGTCCCAGGTGGGAAACAGGATGGCTAACTTAGCAGCTCTGTTGGTGAATCAGGCAGATTTGGAATGGATCCTTGCTCTCCATCCTCCCTGAGTGGCCTAGGACAAACGATTCTGCTCCTTCCAACCTCCCTTTCCCCATCTGTTAAATGGGCACAAGAATGTCTAGCTGGCAGTTTCACCGAAGCCATCAGTAAGACTGTGCTCATGAAAGCTGCTGGCCTGGCCTCATATTGGTTCTTGGTCCCTGGAGGGAGGTGGCACATTTCGGGGGCCCTGGGCATGAGCTGCTGAGCATGGGCTGCACAAATCAAAGCCTGTGCAGCATTGCCCCAGTGCTGACCACCCTCCTCTCCTGTCTTTCAGCCTGTGACCTCATGACCCAGGGGATTTTGGCCTTGGTCACCTCCACCGGCTGTGCGTCTGCCAACGCCCTGCAGTCCCTCACAGATGCCATGCACATCCCACACCTCTTTGTCCAGCGCAACCCCGGGGGGTCACCGCGCACTGCCTGCCACCTGAACCCCAGCCCAGATGGCGAGGCCTACACGCTGGCCTCAAGACCGCCTGTCCGCCTCAACGATGTCATGCTCAGGCTGGTGACAGAGCTGCGCTGGCAGAAGTTCATCATGTTCTACGACAGCGAGTATGGTGAGCGGGGGCAGGGTGGGGCATGGACAGGTGGTGGGTGGTCTGCACTGAGTGGGCCTTGGGGTGATAGGGCCAACCTTGAGCTCCATGAGTGGGGGAAGAGCTGTGAAAACAGATCCATAGATAGGCGCTAAAGTTGCCTAGCAACGGCACCTTATTGTGACAGCTGAAGTTTGAATCATTGTGGAGTTTTCAATACAATATTAATAAACTGCTGGCAGGGATCGGAAGGGCTGTGTGCAGGCAGTGGTGGAGACAGCCAGCACAGGTAGCCCCTCATGCCTGACAGCTCCTGGCTTTCTCTGCTCCTTGGCTCTGGCCACCCTGACGTACCCTCGGTTTCAGGGCCTCAGGCTGGGGCAAACCTCTGGGGGAGGGATGTCCTGAGTGTCACGGGGCCGGGCTGGGGTCGGTGGGCCTGGGGATACAGGGCATGGCTGGACCTGTCTTCTTTGAAGCCTTCTAATATGAAAAAAATCATAACTTGTTTGTTAGGAAACCATGAAAATGGGCTTTGGAGAAATGACTTCTGGTTTTCTTATGGCTGCTCTGTAAAAACAGACCAGTCCTAGACCTGAGATAAAATGTTTTCCATGTTTGTGTTTCCTTAAAATCTTTTTATTTTGAGATAATTGAGATTCACATGCAATTCTGAGAAACAATACAGAGAGACTCCTTCTGCCTTTCACCCAGGTTCCCCAATGGTAACATCTTGCGTAACTAGTACAATATCACAACCAAGATTTGATAACGATACAGTCCAAGGTCTTGTTCATATTTCACCAGTGTACATGCTCTTGGGGGAGTGGATTTACCTCTGTGCAGTTTTATCACACTTGTAGATTCTCATGCCCACCAGTCAGGGTACAGAACAGTTCCCTCACAAAGATCCCTGTGCTCCCCCTTTATAGCCACAGGGCCCCTCACCCCACCTCCCCGATGTTAAAGGGTGTGGGGACTGATGAGGGTTGGCTGCTCCATGGCTTGGGCAGGATGGAATGGGTGGAATTTTGAAAGTCCCGTTTTGTCTCTTGGTGAAATAATTCCTTTGCCAAGAATGTACCTAAGAAAAGAAATCAGCATATGTTTGCATTTGCCTAAATACTCTGCTCCTCTAAGACTGAATGTTGTCCTCAGCTCTTGAGCAAATATGCTGTTTAGAATCTTCCAGGAAGAATTGAAAGAGCAAACAGTCCTTGTGCTGAAATAAAGATGAGGTAGTGATAGGAACGGGGCGGTGAGACTCTGGGGACTTGCACTGGACTCTGTCCAGGACCTTGCCTCTCCCTCCCTCCCACCCCCGCTTAGTCCCCGGACCTTGGGGAGGAGTCAGGGACTTGGTGGGAGCCTCCCCTGCTAGGAGGGCTGAGACCAGCTCTCCAGCCTGCCTACCCTGTCATGCTCTTGTGATTCCTGTAGACTGAATGAGGGGTGGTGGCACTTGCCCAAATCCTATGTTTTCTCCCTATTACACCCCTTACCCCCACTCAGCTCAAGAAGCAAGTTCTCAAAGCAAGTTGTCCCTGAGGCCCACTTGTCCTACAGAGCTAGCACCTTGGTTACAAGTGCTCCCAGACACATTTCTCCTGCCCTCAGCCTGCTCTCGGCTTGTCCTGACTCTTGTGAGGGTGAGTCCTCGAGGAACACTGGACCCCTCCCCTGGTGGTGAGCTCCCATAGAGTGGGCCGTGTACCCTCCACTACCATGTCCCTCTTGCCCAGCATGGTGTCCGGCACAGAGGAGCCCCTTGAGAAACAGTCACTGTGTGAATGAACAAACTCATGGATGAGGACATGGGGTCTTCAAACAGTTTTCACATTAGACGAAAGAGAAATAGGGAGAAGGACATGGGCACTGGGTGGTGTGACCTTGAGTCAGAGGGGATAGGTGGGCTGGGAAACAGGTGTTTCATTCTGCAGACATACTCCTCTGCCCCTTTCCTCTCCTCTCCCACTCAGAACCTTCTTCGATCAAGCCAAACCAAAAGGCGTGCCCCTCCTTTCTGACATATGCACCTTTGCTACCTCGGGTGGGGTTGGAGTGAGTTTTTAGCCAGACTGCCTGTTATCAGTAATTCTGTAAGGATGCAGCATGGCCAATAGCTTTATCTGGTAGGCCACTGTAGGTGCTTGGTTGAGGCGTCCTTGGGTGCTATATTGGGAAAGATTCTGAGGCTGTATGTAGGCTCAGTAATAGAAAGCACTGTGATCACTTTGGGAGGCTTCTGTGGTGAAAGGGAGGGCCTGGCAGCAACCTGCCACGTTTGCTGATTCACATCCGGAGGGTGGAAGTGAATGCAGCCCCTGAGAGCTGCCGTGCACAGTCGGAAGAAGGTGCAGAGCCTTGTGTGCCCGTGACGCTGTCCAGGGTGCTGACCCACGTGGCTTTCGCCTTTCTGGAGGCCAGAGCTCTTCTCCTGCATTCTGTGCAGGACCTCCTGCCTCTGCCTGCCCTGCTCATTGGGCCCCCTGCTTTGACAACCTTTGAGGCCAGGTTTCTGCCCAATATGCCCTCTGTAAACTTTTGACCACCCTGACTTCTGCTGCCCTCATGCAGAGCTCAGTCTCTGGCCTGTTTTCCAACATGCCTTGTGTGAGGTGAGCCAAGGTGTTTGAAGCCCATGTGCTGTTTGGTGCAGCATGGGTGGGTGTGGTCCCTTGATGTGGCTGGTAGTGGCTGAGTGCCATGGGCAGATTTACATGCTGTTAAGGCCAAGACAAATGGCGCCTCCAGAACTCCTCAGGGCCCCTCCTCTGCCCACTCACTGCGGCACTAGCTGCAGATGAGCCCAATTAAAAAGCAAATTGAGTGTAAAGACTGTTTCATTCCTTCCAAAGTCAAACAGAAGTGGTTTGGGGATATAGTGACTTTTTTGGATGCTGATCTGCAAGTATCTTTACATATATTATTTCATTTAAACCACCCAACAACCCACTGAGGTAGGATTATTGCTGCATTTTACAGATGAGGAAAATGAGGCTCAGAGAGGTTCTTTTTGACTTTAAGGCCCATGTGCTTAGCCAAGGCAATGTCCTATTTCTGTAATTTGGGGCTTGCTAGGCTCTGGCTTCCCTCTCCTGTCCCCAGCCAGGCAGAGTTGATGCCCAGAGGAGGGAGTGGTGGTTTGGAATCGACTTGGCATGCCCTGGGCTGGTGCAATCCATCACTTTAGTGAACATCATACATAGGGCTCCTCCTTTGCCCTTCAGCCTCTCTTTAAACCCAGGAATGTACTGCCCCAGGTGGAGCCTGACTCAGAGGTCAGAGCAGGAAAAGCCAGGGACTCTGAGATAGAATTGGCAGAGGGGTGAGAGAGGTGTTTTTATGTACATGGTTTACAAAATGCAAGATGTGCCATTTGGTAAAATTCCATGAAAAATACTTATATGCTTGTTGTGACAGTGAAAGGAAAAATAAAAGAGAAGCTGACATTTGGGAGAGAAAATCTGTAATATTAAAATACCAACAGTTTGGATCGAACAGAACAGAGAACTTTCCGACGTGCCACTTTGACTGCTGGGGTATTCGTGTGCGTGTGTGTTGGGGGCGTGGTGCTAGCAGCTGCAGCCACCATTTCCTTCTAGTGAATAAATTTAAGCAAGGGTTGTAGTTATGATGGGATCTCAGATATCATTGACTCATCCATTCAACAAATATTCACTGAATCCCTACCATGTGCTATTTATTTTGCTAAGCGCTTGTTTTAGATGAAGAAACAGATGGGTGTAGTAACTTGGCTGAAGTTGCCCAGGGCTGGGATTGGAAATCAGGGCACAGGGGCTCTTTCCTCCATAGCCTCTCTAGGGTACATAGTCCCCTCTTGGCCTCTGGGTCAGCTCACAGGTCTGGGATGGGCTGGGAGCTAGGATTCCACGGAAACAAAGCCTCAGGACTCTGCAGGAATAGCCATCATCTATTTGTGTTAGTTTTAGAGTTATTTTTAAAAAATTGAATGTTGTACATGGTTACAATCTGAATGTCTAGTAAAAACAATAATAAAATTAATGCTCATGAACCCACAGTCAGTTTAAAAAATGTAAAGGAGCCCTTGTGTGCTTTATTCATGCTGACCATGTCCTCCCCTACCAAGGGGTCTTAAGCACTGTCCTGATGGTGTGCTAACCAGTCCCTTGCTTTCCTTGACAGTTTTATCATACAAGAATGGACTCTAAAATACATATTGTTCATTTGGTCTGCTTGTGAATCTTCTATATGTGGAATAACACTTCTGTGTGCTTCTTTGGTGGCTTTTTTCATCAACATTAGGTTTTTGGGATTCGTCCATTTGCTGCAGGTGCTGTATTAATCACTTTTATTGCTGCACTGTATGCTTACATTTATTTATCTATCTTATTACTAATGGGCAGTTGGGTTGTTTCTAGGCTTTTGTTATTACAAAAAAATGCTGATAAGAATATTCTCACGCTTGCCTTTTGGTGTTTATGTGCAAGAATTTTTGAGGGTCTATTTGGAGGAGCAGAATTGCTGGACTATTGGGTCAATACATGTGTCACCTTATTAGGTTATACCGAATTGTTTTCCAAAGCATTTATATCTATTGACACCACCATCTGCAATGTGTCAGAGTTCTCTGAGCCCGCCAACCTTAACAACACTTTGTACTGGCTTTACTTTTAAGTTCCTAGTGCGACACCTTGTCTTACTCTGATTTTAACTTACATTTTCTTAATGACACATGAGGTGGAGCATCTTTTTGTGTCTTTATGGGCTATTTTTGTTTTCTCACCTGTTCATAGTTATTAATTTTTTGCCCATTTTTAAGTTGAGCTTTTCCTTTTGTAAGTTAAGTGTGGCAAGTATCTTCCTTCAGTTAGTTGCTTGTCTTAATGCACAGAAGTTCCTTATTGTATTGTCAAATGTCTTCATCCTTTTTATGGTTAGCTCTCTTGCTTGTCTTATTTAAAAAGTCTTTCCCTTCCCAACTGTCATAAAGATCATTTCCTGCCGAAGCCTCACTTTCTGCACAAAGAGCAGATGTT